GAGCTGGGCCTAGGGGCGTGGGTGGTCGTCTTTAAATTCGGCGGAATAACAATCGACAAATCGACGAATCGACTATCGATTACATTTCATTCGCGTGGCCATAATAAAACCATTGGCAAAACGTTTTCAACAGGCCGTTTCCACTTGTACGTGTCTGTCATGTTGAATTAATTCCAACAGTGCAAATGTAAAATGTCCTGTAAAATGGCTGGCTAGGGATGTTTGGTGGGAGGGGGAGGGGCGTATTGTACATGGCGTATGAGCAACGTCTTGTAAATTGCTTTGCTTTGCATTTGTATGGGCCGCGCCCAAACTGTCAGCTTGTAGCATAATTGTGCGTCGTTAACTTGATTATGAAGTGCCTTTCACACACACACACACACACACGCACACACACACACACATACAGACACACATGCAAACATGCACACGCTCGCAAGGACGCGCACACACGCAGACAGTTTTAATGTGCAAATGGCGCACTTTAAGTCAAGCAATTGGAAACTAAATTGGAATTTTTACGACAGGCATCAAGCAGCCCAGCTCAGTTCAGGCATCAAGCAGCTCAGTTCACAATGGCTGCTCTTGGCCAAGGGAGCGTATGAGCATTGTGTGTGCGCATTTGACCGACAGCCCAGCAACAATACACACACACACACACACACACACACACACACACACATATGGACAGTCGCACGCACGCTCGCACACACACAATTTGACTGCTGCTGCATGTGAGCATTTGTAAAATTTCCCTTAGGCCCCGTTCATCTGAATTAAATGTTGACGTGGCCAAAAATTCACGCCTGACTTGGCCCGCTGCTAAGTCGACCATGCTAAATTGTCAGCCCTCCGTCCGAAAAACGAGAAACTAGCTTAACAAAAATACTGTTTGGCTTCAATGTGCCGCAAAATGTCTGTGGGATAAATATGCTAATATTTTGAGCAGTTTTTTTTTTTTTTTGGAAATCAATTTTATTCATAAACACATAATTCTATTTAATGCAGCCACAATTTGTTACGCTCAAAGAAGTCAACAAGTGTGCTAGTCACAAAGGCTGCAGTCAAGAGGAAATTGCCTTTGATTATTGACTTGCGGCATTGCGACTGCTTGCAACTGTGGCAAGTTCTTGTTTGCCGCTTAGTTCTAATAAATGAATGCGGCTGGCGCTCAATACGTGAAATTTGCATAGCCCAAAGTCTGCTGAGCGGGGCGGGGAGCAGGAATGCTTGGCAAAAAAGGAAACGCTGCCGCATGGAAAGAGCTGCGCGCTGTGCCACAGGCAACATATGTGTGTAAGTGGTGTGTGTGTGTGGTGTGTGGCGTGTTGTGTGTGTGTGTGCGGTGTGTGCTTTGCTTTTGATAAATACTTATGCACATATTAGCAACATGTTCATGTGAGTGTGTGCGTGTGTGTATAAACAGTTGCCAGCTCGTGTGCTCTATGTCTATGATGTGTGTGTGTGTGTGTGAGTGCGGTGTGTATGTGTGCGTGTGTTTTGCTGGCTGTTAACTATTTTTGCTGCCTGCAATTGCCTTTGGGCTATTGACACATTCACAAACACTTTGCCACAATCTGCTGCCGCTGCTGCTGTTGCTGCTGCTGCTGCTTCTTCTTCTGCACCTCAGCCCGGTTTTTTTTTTTATTTTAGCCCCCAGCCACTTTTTGTGCATTTCATGTTGGGTTTTATTTTATTTATTTTTTTTTCGGGTCGCTTTGGTTTGGTTTTGGGTTGGGTTTCTGTCGGGTTTCGCCTGCAAATGCAAAGCATTTTATGCGGTTCGTTTGTCAGTGCGGATTTTGTGTGCTCTGCGCAAATAACGCAATTCATTTGTGCTCAAGATTTTGCAAACAAAACGCATATCAATTCCATTATTGACTTTTCCCAACTGTATTCCAATTTTTTAATTGAGTTTCCACTCTAAGCAGCTCAATGGAAATTAAAGTATTTGTGCGTTAAGAAGACTTTGCCGGATATTGAGCTTTGCTTTTGGTTTGCGCTGTTTTGATGGGAAGAAATGTGTGCTGTTGGTTTTTGATGAGAGGAATAAAATATAGAAATATATCTCTATATACACAAAAATTAGTAACTATTGAACCCCATGATAATACCAAACAAATTATATCTTGAGTAAAGTGAAAGATACTTACTCTGTATATACTCTTCTATATCTAAAAAAAAACAAGATTTCATTGGGTTATAGCAAGAGGTTGAATATATTGAAGTGTTTTGTTTTTAAATATATATTCTTTATCAGTATCAAAAACCGAGATTATATGGCCATGTCTGTCTGATCGTCTGAACGGCCATCTGTACTAGGCAAACTAAGCAAACTCTCAGCATTTAAGGATATCATCATGAAACGAGCCAGTTTGTCATAAAGCTGCCATAGGATCCATCCACCAGCTTTTGTATGAACGAATCTTGGTTGTCAAAATTTCATGACCAAACTTGGCATTTAATAGTTTTATCATCCTGTCAACACAAAGCTTAAAGCAATGAATCGGGTGCATAACGAGCTTTATGAATAGGAATCTATTCAGTTTTCAAATATGTATTGACTAATCTCAGCTCAGTTTCACAATTTTTGCCAATTATTTGCAGAAAGATCTTACCAAGTAAGCCGTTCATTTGTTTTTTCCTACGGTATTTTGTTAAGCGAAAAGTAATTTGAAAAATTTAATTCTACATGCCAATTAATTCAAAATGACTTCCAGTAAATTAAAGCAAAAGGTGAACCAAAGGAAACCTTCTATATATATTTTTTAAAAACAAATCCTGGTTGGAAACCCTGTGGTAAGCGCGTCATCCCAATAAAGTAATGGATTAGGCAACATCCAATGCTAATGAGCAGATATTTAAGCTAGCAGCTCTTTAAATTGTTTTGTGCCACATAACCAGCAACAGTTTGTCTTAAATCCACATTTAATTACGGCAGCGTTCAAGTCTATCGAATTAGTTAGAAATTTGCAACCGAAAGAAAACTATTTTGTGGTCTTTTCCGATTTTCGGCAACTAGTTTGAAGTTTTCTTAAGGAACTATTTAGCATATTGGCTTAATTTTTTCCTTGTGTCAAAATGTGAGCGTAGTCAAAGATGAGACTTTGAAGTTGGAATTAAAACTTAATTGGTAGGATTTTTGCCAACTCGTATTTACAAGCGTCCATAAATCAGGCTTCAATTGAGTGTATCCAGCTAGTTGCATGCGACAGGCAAGAGAAAGAGAGACAGAGAGAGAGAGAGAGAGAGAGAGAGAGAGAGAGAGAGAGAGAGAGAGAGAGAGAGAGAGAGAGAGAGAGAGAGAGAGAGCGAGAGCGAGAGAGCGAGAGAGCGAGAGAGAGAGAGAGGAGGCGACGCTTAGGGACAGCCTCGCAGTCATCGTCATTGTGAGATGCTGCCGCTGCCCGGGCTGATTCTCATTGTCATCCTCGTTGTCTCCACGCTGTCATCATTCTCAGCACACAATTTAGTTTTATTAACCAAGCCAAGAGACGCTAGAGGGAGAGTAAGTGGGTGGGAGACTGGCAGAGAGGAAGTCACAGGGCGGCGCAGAAAATGGCACCAAGAAAAATGAACTGCACTTCTTGTCGTTTGGCCGCCAGTTGATGCTGTTGCTGCTGTTGCTGCTGCTGCGGCCGCTGCTGCTGATGTTGATGGCTGCCTGTTGACAGTAGCTTGGCGGTGCAAACAATGCCCGGCCCTGCCCCACAGGCCGCACAAGCTGCACGGCCAACAGCCAACAGCCAACAGCCCACCGCCTATCATTCGCTTCCTCTTTGCGGCCATTCCGGCCAGGCATTGTTGGGGCATGCATAAGCCAATATGTACACCCGACAGTCGCTCGGTCGCTCTTTGTGTGTGCCAATGGGATCACTTGAGATTGCAAAACTAATCAAACCCTAAGCTTTAAGACTGACAACATGAAATCAATAGAAAAGAGATGCGAGGGGTGGCGCGCCAGTTGGAGGATGAACAAGTTTTGTTTATGTTTTGCATAATTTTATTATGTTTTTATTTGATTTTCTTCATCTTGTTGATTTTTGTAATTTTTGTTACATTTAACTACACATACTTAAGAGCTAATGTATTTTTTTTTTTATTTCAATGCATTTTATGTATTTTTTATTTTTATTTGTATTTTTTTTTTTTGTTCTTCTAAATTATGTTGAATGTTATTTTTATCATACACATCAATTATATTTATTATGTACACTGCAATTGTTAGGGGGGCGCACTTTTTAAAATGTTCTTGTTTTTGCTATTTGAATTGTTTGAGAGATTTGCCCGTTCTTTAAAAATACTAAATATTCCTTAAATATATATAATAGTATATTTTGATTAATCTGTTCCTTGCAGCTGCATTTGTTTATTCTTTCGTTTTTTTTTTTGTTTTTTTGATTACCAACTTTTACACATGGTCAAAAGTCTTGTTTCTAGTTGTTGTTTGTGGCTACGCATCAAAATTTTGTTTGCTTTAGTCTGTAACCAGCGTTGAAATTTTCTTTACCCTTCTTTTCTCTTCGTTTTTTTTGTTTGCATATTTGCAAATAACTTATGCTTAAAGATTCACTTGACTTATTCGAAAGTATAACAAAAAATATATTTACAGCATTTATGAATCAACGTTTTGAATGGAACATTGGCCTAAATTAAATTTAAATATTTACGGTATGTACATTTAAATTAAACGTAGTTTAGTTAGTTAAATTTCAATATATATATTTGATTTATTATTATTTAATTTACCTTTCGTCAATATTAATGCTAGTGTTTAATGCCAATTTTATGCTTAAGTTGACTTAAAATCACTTACATAAAAGCTCTGACAGCTTTTGGGTTTGTTTTCAAATACATTTTGCAGTATTAAATGCACATGTTAATATTTTATTTGATTTTATGTGAGCTTCATAAATTGTTTATTCTTTGCTTCTTGAAAGTGAAAAGCGCTCAATTCAGATGCCTTCAGAAACATGGAAGCTAGCAAATGAAAGGCTCAATTAAACGGCTGTATTTTACACATGCATTTATCAATTCACACGCGCCCACACACATGCATACATATATAAAAGTAATTACACACACATACACATGCAACGCTTAAATAGATTGAGATTTTAGTTGTAGTTGAAATTTGTTTAATTTATGAGCTTAGCTAAGAGCTGTTTAAATGTTGTCTGCTTGAAGAATTTAATGGGCTTTACTTAGATATATAGCTGCTACTGCTTTGATGAATTAGTTACAAATGTTGCGGGTTGTCAGTTGTCAGCAGCCCCTTTTAGACGATTCTCATATAGACACTTGTGTGGAATATCCGATAGCCGATGGCAATCATTACCATAAAATTGTGTAGCTGGCGTTGCGTCGTTTTAGTTGAGCCACCCACATGTCCGTGATACATGGCCGCAGGATTATCGCCTGTATGAAAGGGATGAGAGTACAATAAAAAATTGTATGCGCATGAGAGTCAAGAGAAAATGTGTTCAAATTAATTAAGGCCCCACACACACACACACAAGTCAGCACATAACATATAGATGCCATGCACCACCCACTCAGCCACACACACACACCCACACATATTCACACACTCACAGGTAAAACAACAAATGCTAATGAGCATTTGCAGTGTCCCCAAAGCCGGCAACTTTTGCAACACAACCTATGCTGGCCTTATAAGTTATGAGCTCTGTCACGCCCCCTTGCTTGTGTGTGTGTGTGTGTTTTGTGTATGTGTGTGCCTGTGTGCGGTTTAGTGTTTATGGCCTGGCTTTAATGGCCGCCTTGGTGGTGTGGGCATTTTTAATCCGCACGCCTGTGGCTCTGTAATTTTCATAAATTACTTTTATTGTTCTTTCGTTTTCATATGGTTGTTGCTTTTTGTCACTTGATATATGAACTGTAAAAGAGCTGCTACGCATAACTACACAAATACAAATGCAGATACAGATAAATATAAACAGATACAGTAACAGATACAGATACAGATACACCTACATTTGTGTTCATATATACATATAGGTTGGCAAATGTCGCACTTTTGGTTTTTTGTCAGCTTAAATTTTATTTTTCTACCATAATAAATTGCATTTCAGCATTGCTTTATTCAATATAATTGTAGTATCTGTGTATATGTGTTTATACCGAGATATATACAGCTAAAAGGTGCAGATAAGTTAAGCTGCACAAATTATGCAACGTTTCCTCAGTTTGTTTAGTTAAACAGTTGCTTTGAATATTCACGGAACACTTCATTTATCGACAGCCAATTCGAAAAAAAACATTTTCGATATTTAATGTCCATTTGTTCTTTAATGTAAGCATAGCTGTTTGGCTTATATTAAATATTATTTTTTAATTATAAAGGAAACAATATGCAGGCACATATAAATATCAAAAAGTGTAGCAAGAAATCTATTTCATATATTCCATGAAGAGTCAGCGAAATGTAGAAAATAAATTTATTATTAAATAATATGAAATATACCAAAAATTAATACGAAATTAGCTGGCGAAACGCAAACAAGTTAAAATACGAAATACAACAAAAAATTTCATAAATTAAAATTCATAAAGAAAAACTTATTTCCATATTAGTGTGCAAAACAACAGATTGTAAAAAATCGTAGAAATAATTTTAGTAAATAACAAATACAAAGTCTACGTTTGTTTTAGAGGGTATTCAAAATAAAGAAATATTTTCATTAGCTATACAACAGATTATAAAACAATGCTTAAATACACAACAATAAATATGAAATATATTCATCAATAATCAACTAATTCTAATAAAAACCAAAGTAAAAACTTTGGCGCATTAATCAATTGCAAGGACCTAGGGTTCGATCTGCGTGGATTGTAGTTTTGCAGTTGCATTAAGTATACACACAGCTGTAGCGCATAAAAAGTTTCAAATAGAAAAGGGGGCGGGTTCGACTCACCTTTGAAAATGTGTACCAAAACGCTGGCTGGCTGCGTGTTGCTGGCCACACAGGTAAAATTGCCCGAATGCTCGCGACGTGTGCGCTGAATTGTAAGCTCCGATGATTGAAAGTCTGCAATGAAGTGGACGCAAAAATGCAATGGATGATAGTTTCAGTACGCTACAAGTGGGGCCAGTTGTAGGATAGGGATTGGGGTAGGGTATGATTGCACTCACCTGGCTCGGTTGACACATTAATGCCCCGATCAATGTCATAATTAATCATGCGGTTGTCGTGATACCAGAATATATACTCGGATGCCTCTGTATTCTGTACAACGCGGCATTGCAAGCGCAGCCTTGAGCCCGGCGTCAGATAACGTATGGGCGGTCCTGATATTTCGGCGCGCGCTTCTAACCGAATTGAATGACATTTTGGAAATTGAATTGCCATTTCCACAATCGGATATTGCACGTGTGTGCGTATACGTGCGCGCGTGTGTGTGTGTGTTTGTGTGTGATAGATGGAAAGTGGAAGAGCAGTTGAGATGAAAGATTCAAAATTTAATCAAATGTAAATGCAAACGGCTGTCAAAGTTATAAGCTATAAACTGAAGCCGACATTTCACTATATCACAACTGGCATTTCCTACAAGGTATCTAATTGAGAATTTCAATTAGGATTATATTATATAGACGTTGTTGTTCTTATAAGTAGCTGAAAGCATTTTTAAATTAAGTGCTTCAACATATACTGAAGCTATTTAACTAAAGTCCACTGCGAATGTGAATGTTCTTTGGAATTTCATGCTTAAGCTGTCCATTTTAATATTTAAAAAAAAAAAGCAGACTTATCAGGCATACCATATAGTCGACGGGAAAAGATAGAACATCTCTTGAGCCTTGGATCAGATCATGATAAAATACAACTAGCATGTCAAGTATGTCTGCAAGGGCATTAAGTCTTCGGCAACCATTTTTCTTGGCTGATAATTTCACGCTTAGATGGCTTAAGAGATTCAAACTATTTACTTGCTGAAGCAAAAATAAATTGCTCGGCCAAGCTTTTAAAAATCTCAACTTCACAATTTTTTGTTTGTTTTTGGCCAAAATCATGTCAACGCTGGCAACTCTGGCACAGTGCACTGGGTCAACACAGCGCATCAACTGACTCGTACAGTTTGTTCAGCCAGCTTCTTTTTCTTCTTCTGCCATTTGTGTGTGTGCGTGTGTGTGTGTGTGTTTTTTTTTTTGCTCGATGCGCTCATGCTGAAATTAGAAATGTCCATATGCCAGTCGCCAGAGTTGGCAGGCGAAGCAGTTACGGCAAAAAAAAAAAGAAACAACGACGAAAACAGGCACAAACTGAAAAGGTATAAAAAAGGGACACCTGCCCAAATGGCAGCGACTCAGCAAGTTGCCCGAAACAACGTTGTCGACGTGCCCGTTAACGTTGTTTTTGCTCTTGTTGTTGCTGCAGTTGTTGTTGTCGTATTGTTGGCCTTGCCTAACGCTAACTGACACACATTATTCTGAATTTAACAAACAATTTACTTTGAATGTGCTGCGCCTAATGGCGTTTTCTGCACAAAAACAAAGCCCCCAACACACTCGCACGCACACTCGCACACACACACGCTGACTAACTGAAACTGATGCGAGAGCGCATTAAAAAAAAAAAAAATAGTCTGGTAACGCCTCGCATGAATCAGGCAGAAAGGGCGACACACTTAATCAGATACAGGCATATTTAAGAGCTCAGCCATAAGTAGTTAAGAGGGTTTTTTTCCCGTTGTATACATTTGCATATAACATCGGTATTTGTAAGTTACAATATAAGTTACAAATAGTGATGTACACTACGGCCGTTTGTACCTAACGACTGCAACTTTATAGAGATAAAAGTGTAAATCATGAAGTATAACCTTCAACAATATATATGTATATAGATGCAAAAAATGCTCTTTATAAGGTTTTGAGTAATTAATAACCCTTGCAGAAATAATGCAGATACTCAATATACATTCCTTTTTCCTGGTTTTTATTCCACTATCGATATTGTGGAAACTAGAAGCTATATTCTATAGTATTTCGCTGCTAATAAGGTTTTTTTTTTATAATTTAAAAGATTTTCATTGTGATATAGTTGTCGGTTTTCGTTTTTAGTAGGGATTCTAGGGTACTAAATCTCTGTAATGGCTGACTAAAAGCAATATCATTTTACTCTCTATTTCCTTGCCATTTAATCGACTGACTTCTTTTTACTTACCGACTACGCTCAAATGTAGAAATATGGATGTGGGCGGATGTGTGGATACTTGACACTCGTACACGCCGGCGTCACGTAGCTGCACAAATTTGATTTGCAATGTCCAATCCTGTACAAAAGAAAACAAGCAGAAGCCAACAAATGAGAAACAACAGCCAATTGTTTTGAGTGCACAGCTGCAGTTTTGGTTTATTTAAGTTTAGAGTCAGCCGTTTGTTTCGGCGCATTTCTGTCACGTATACGCAGTGTTGGCCATTTGGCATGCAACACAGCGCTGCGCGGCAGCTGGCCAAAATGCAAATTAGCTGCGAACCCACCTCGGAATGTTTCAAGTGCGTGGCACTGAAGCGCTCGTCGCTGCTGTAGGTTGTTAGGCCGACCGTAAGCAGATGATAATCCTTTTTGCGTATCCAGGATACCTGCCGAGTACAAAAAATTAAGGAAGAAGAAGCAGTCAGTAGGGCGGCGCCATTAGGTAAATACAATTGAGAGCCTAGCCTAACATATGCCAGCATTTCATTTTGGCCAGTCGTGCGTTCCGCTCGGCGCGCTTTCTCGTCCCAAACAAATGTTTGTCAATCCATCAAGCGGCGACGACAACGCGATGATGATGCAATTTTTCAAAAGGGAAAGATACAAACTCAAGACCCAAAATCGAATACAGAAAAAAAGGGGGCACACGAAAATCAAAAAGCAATTACGTGTAGAAAGCAACAATAGGAAGAACAAGAAAAACAACAACAATAATAATAAACATAATAGCAGATTGATTGATCCCAGGTTCAAAGTTCAAATTGGCTGCTTAACTGTAAATAGACAAACAAACAAACATGTGAAGGGCCTCTTACCTAACTGAATGCCACGCCCACGCTTCGAGTGTGTGTTTGCGAGTGTGTATGTGTGTGTGTGTGTGTCTGTGCGCCGACTTTTAGCTAATCTCAAATGACCATTAATCATTTCGATTTCGACAGCGACTTCGTTTTAGCTAAGAGGTAGCACCCAACTCGCGCACACAAGCACACGCACACCTTATGCACACACACACACACACACGCATATACACGAACGCACACACAAACAGCTATTAGCTATGGAGGCTCAGCTGAAGCCTGTAGCCTCGCTAGCCTGGTAAAGTTTGGCAGCAAAATGAAAGCCATCGTAAAATAAAATTACAGCCAAACAAAAAAAGTAGCAAAAAAGAGCAAGAACTGCTGACTGTTGAATACTCTATTTGCAGTGTATTTACAACTTCAAGTAGGTGGGCAAGAGTTTTTGTTGACTCCTACAAGGGCAGGAGAAGGGATTGGGCCCAGTTAACGAGAAGAAAAACTCAGATTAGCCTACGCTTGGAATGCCTATAAGTTACAGGCGCACTTGTGGGCATGGCACACACAAAAAAATTATTTTTACAATTTAAGTTTTGAATTGCTGCACGATTCAGAGATACAAATTTAACTGCAGCTGTCGAAGCAGGCGTAACAATAATTATTTATTGTTTTGAGCTTTCGGGATATATATTGGTAGTTAAATAAATCAATTTTGGTAATGTAGCTTGCATATAATAACAGATTCTTGCATATTTTAAACTTGCGCGGATCTTTTTATCTAAATTTAAAACTTTTATCAGCGGTTCGCATAATCATTGGGGCTTATCTTTATAATTGCTTCTAAGAGAGGCGGAAAGCATGGAGAGGAGATAATTTATTACAAATGAACATTAACCATACTTCATTAAGCTTTATCTGACATATATAAATATATGTATAAAATCTATACAAAGCACAATATATACTGTTTTTGTCTGTAAAACAGAGTATTGAATAAGGTTTGTTTATCAGTCTGAGAAAACTGCGCGCTGCTCTTTTCATTTATTTATTTATTTACTCTGTTTTTTTCGGCTGCCTACTATACGCGCGTGTATCAATCAATTTTCAATTGATAGAAAATTGTATTTATTGGCTCAAAAAGATACAAAAAGTAGAAGCAAAAAACGCAAGTAAAAAGCTTTGTGGCAAATATTGACAGACGCACATGAAGAAGAGCTGGAACAAATGTGGAAATTAACTACAAAGTAAATTGGTAAATCGTTAGCAATTGGCCAAAAACACTCGCTTAAATTGCTATCGCAATGTACAATGCGGCGTATACGCAATGCGACACAACTAAAAAAAACTCAATTGTGGATATAGAGACGGAGGAAGAGAGCGAGAGAAATCAAACAGCAGCTGCTGTCAGAGAATTTCCAAGAATTACGTCACGAAAAATTACAAGGCTTCCATGTGTATAAATATATTTTTCTATTGAAAATCTGTGCCTGACTTCTAGGAAGTTTTGATTTTTTCTCGCAAAAATGATTTCTGCTCATTTGAAAAAATGATGCGCATCATTTTTGATGCCTGGGCATATTTGCAACTGAGACTCTGTTTTAGCTGTAGTCATATATTATCAGTACTCTGCAATAGTTTATGTAATCAATGTATCTATTCAATAAAAGCTGCAACAGTCGAGCACAAAGTGTAAGGCATAAATGACGCATAAACTGCGAGCGTAGAAAACTGAACCGAGCTGGAATTGAACTCTTGTACAGGAGGAGCAGCAGCATCTAACCATCTAGCCAGCTCTATCTTCAGCTGGCTCGCTGCCTCTTTCCTTTATATCGCCCTGCTGCTCCTCTCTTTTTTTTTATGATATTTATGATGGCTGTAGTTCTCTTTCAGACTGCTGCGACGTGTCGGCAAATAAACCCTGAACCGTGCAGTGTTAAAGCAAAATGTTGCAAAAAAGCGTAAAGCGGAATGTGTAAGCAAAAGGGGCTTCTACATACAGAAGGTCAGGGCGAGAGGGTTGTGGCAGGGTGTGGCTGAAGTGAAGCCATCACTGGCAAAAATGTGTTTGGCCGATTCTGGCAAGTTGCAAGCCAAAAGAAAATACACATAGCACAAAAAAAAGTAGGAAAAATGAAAAAATATATATATAAAATGTTGCGGCAATTAATCAAAAGCATGTGAATTCCTTTGCCAAAGTGTCGCGCTCAGTGTGAGTGTGCGTATGTGTGGGCGAGTGTGTGTAACTGGGCATGTTTGCCATGTCTGTGTGTGTGTGTGTGTGTGTGTGTGTGTGTGTGTGTGTTTGCTGTGTGCGTGCGTGTGTGTGTGTGCCGCATAAATCTCAGCTGCCTGTCATGTGTATGTGTGTGTGTGTGCCGCATAAATCTCAGCTGCCTGTCAAGTGTATGTGTGTGTGTGTGTGTGAGTCTGCGTGTGTGGCGCCTGCTCTGCGGCTGCTGCGGTTGTGTGTTGACTTTGTATGCGTGTGTGTGTGTGTGTGTGTGTGTGTGTGTGTATGTGTCTGCGCATGTGTTGCTGGCGCTGCAGCTGCGAGCGCGCAGATAATTGTTTACATTTTACCTTTTTTACAAAATACACATAAAAAACAACAACTGCAAAAGAAAGAGCAAAAGCTGTAAAAATAAAAAAGCGGCGTTTAATTTATGGCCAAGCAGTGGCCGGGAGCTATGTTCGGGAGGGGGGTTGGTTGGTCGTAGGGGCTGGTGAGCGGATGTGTGCGCGGCACGGCAACAAATCACTTGTTAGCAAATTTATGGCAAATTTATGCTAACTACATGTCCTGCCCAAGCTGCCAACAGCCGAAGGTAGGCAGCGCGAATCCTTTCCGCCTGTCTGACTGCCAATGCAAAAATTGTAGCATACTTATTTGCGCTGCGATTTGTTTAGCCATTTTTTAAGCGGCAGTGGGTGGCGGAGAGGCGGCACCATGTTGGTTTAGAGGAAAGCGCTTATCGCTCGATCTTTCGACAGCTGCGCGCATATGCAAACTGTCTAAATGCAGGCGGGCAGACAGGCAGACGCAGATGGAGGGCAGAGGAGCTTGTAATTGCGTGGCAGAGCTGGGCTAAATAAAAATGCTGGAAAAAAAAACAAAGAGAAAATTCAATACAAAAGCCGATTGCGGCAGGTTTTTCTTGTTTTTGCATTTTATTTACTTATTTTCTTTTAGTTTTTTGTGTTTATTTTGTTTTTTAGTTGCCGCACACAACAAACTTTTGATTGGCTTTCGTTGTTGTTTCGCGTTGTAGTTGTTGCATGTTATTGACGAGCATTTTGTATGCTTTATTGCGCGCTGTCCATCCAATTTCCGTTGCCACAAGCCCAAGGGTCAATACAACAAATGCATAGAGGGCGTGCCTTGGCAGAGGAGGGAGGTGTTGCAGGAGCAGAGTTGCGAATGGTAACAACTTTTTTTCAATGCACGAAAAACTTTTTAACAAGCGATTTTAATAAAATTCTATTTAGATGCTGCTTTTTGGCAGCCATTTGTGCAGCAAATAGAGGGAGACACACACACAGAAGCACACACAACAGTCAGATACATGTATATGTACAATAGTAATTGTACAAGTATTTTTTTGTGGCAATTGCGCGCAGCTTAAAAAGGTAAAAAAGAAAAACTTTTGTACAAAAATACGCTCAATTTACTGTCGCTGAATGTTAGTGTGTGCTTGTGTGTGTGTGTTAGTGTGTGCGAGTGTGTTGTTAACTATTTTGTAGCAGCCAGCTCGATGCGGCATTTTGGGGCGCTGCATAGAGTCATCAAAAATGCCATTCTTGCACAAGCGGGCGAAAATATTTTGCAGTGACTGTACGTGTGCGTGCGTATGTGTGTGTGTGTGTGTACATGGGCATCCAAGTGCGCTCGCCATATCCATAACAAACTGTAGACAAAAATGGGTCAACAACTCGTAAAATGCATAAAAAACTTGCGCAAAAGACAACTTTAACAACAAAAAATGTCGAAAAAAGTTTGGTATCGGTGGTTTTTTTTTTATCATCTTAAATTTTTGGGGCAAGTTTCAAGTTCAATTTGCGAGCTTGTTGTGTGGCACCATAAATAAATAACTGTAAATGTGGCAGGCATTAAAAAGGCTTTAACTGGGGGCGTGACCCACCTTGTGCTGGCACGAACTTTGCGCATTATTCATTATACTCGAAGCGGAAATGAGCATTAAATGCAATTAATGCATAATTAAACATTGAGCATTTGCTAATTGTGCCCACCCCAAATTAGCCTGTCAAATTAAAAGCGAAGGACGCAGCAACCCGCGCAAAACCCACGCAAAACAATAGCCTGTTATATGTGCATAAATATATTTCTATAAGGGGCAAGACAGGCATAAATAATAATAATAATGAAAGAGAAAAGAAATTAAAACTCGGCCCAAATGAAAATTACCATAGCCTACTTTTCAGCTGTCAAGGAGACGCGAATCTCCAAACGAATGTGAACAGTTTTGAGGATTTCAGCGTGGGCTACGAGTGCTTTTTGGCCGTGCTGCAGGCGCACTCGTATTTAGTTCCCATCTCAATTGCCATTTCCCATTTTTCATATTTCATATTTCACA